CACAATGTGTTGAAAGCATAAACCTGAAGGGTTTCATTTAAACCTTCCAAGAAACTTGGCTCCGCATTTTGTCACAAAAACACCCGGCTCCGCTCACTATGGCAGATGCCGTCCAGCAGACAGGAAGGAACAGCTTTCCCGTGGACGATTCCTTTAAGAGTGCTGATTGAGTGGCTAGACTTTATGTAGGTAGAGAAGGTCAAAAGGCGAAGTCCGTTGACGGTATAGAACGATCGTGGACATCGATGAAAATGGCCACGTACCACGAGAGGTGCATTGAATCTTTTCTATGGTTTTTTCGGGGCTGATCTTGTGCATTTACTCCAGGTCTTAAAGGCATATTCATGGATAGAAGTGCATTATGGGCTTGGTTCGATTTAAAGGGGATTTAAGGTTGGAGGTCGGTAAATATACCTAGTGATAAGACAAGCGGGTCCCCAAGCCTGGGACGATGTGAACGGCCCATGAAGGTCGTATCGACGACACAATGACTCTACACGTAACCGACTGGCTATATTCTCGCCGTCGGACTTTAGCGCGGATACTAGCCCTTCAGCTGTAGCAGAGGCGGAGAGCACAGGATCTCGTTGACTTCGAAAGCGATGATTTTCGCATCGATGCGGAAACCAACCTGCTAAAAAGGTCCCATTTCCCAGGTTCTGAACCGTCCTCTTGATTTTTTTCATCCCTGCATCACTGACAACCTGTGCATTAATTTTCAATGAGCTACCTTCTCGTCGTCAACTCCGTCTTTAATGAGCCCTAGTTTGGCATGGACCCTTTCCTAGGTTGAATCAGATCTGAATTTCAACCCGATGATCAAGTATAAATGCTCTTCTTTCAAACAGTGGTCTGTTGGGTAGTAAGAATGACATGGTCGGTTCTTTTTGCATATTTATTTGACATCTGAAACGTTGAAGGGCAAAAAGATTGAGTGTTTGGGGGGAAAATAATCACGCTGCTACAGCAGGGTACTAGTCGCACAGTTGTAATTCTGAAAGTCGTAAGCCCGAGCTTTGCTAGGTGCAGACGAGGGAGTATGTCAATATCCAGTAAACATACAACGCATTGTCCTGAACCAAGGGACACTCGCGGGTTAAAGAAAATGGGATGTTAGTTT